GACTTAAATATTTAACAAAATATTTATTACCGTTTCCTTTCAAACTGTGCCAATAAGATATCATTACTATTAGATCAACATGTTTTTTTATTATTGATTGATGCATTGTACTATTATGTGATATTTTTTATGTGATGTTACTATTAAAAATCAGGATATTAGAATTTAGTTTTAATTATGGGTTAATGTACTTACTTTTTGATTGATGTGATTGATATTTTGATGATATCTCGTATTGTGATACTTAATGTCGTTCTTAATGTACAGTTTTTGTTAAAGTGTTGATCAAATAAATGGTACTATTTATGTAGATATTTACACGATATTAATGGAATTCATAAAAGAAGACATTTATTTTGATGAAACACGATCCGTTTCCCACTGGTTTAAAAAATTCGTACTAATCAAATGTCTCAAATTCTTAATATACCTATATAGATATTAACATGAATGCAGACCGTTTGCATTTAAATATAAGTAATACTTAACATTAAATGATTAATACAACCATCATTATTTTACAAAACTATTGAAAACCAGATCCAGATAACGCTGACTCTTATTAATAATTAACAGGACATTATCTAAGCAGTTGAAATAACAAAAAAAAAAACAAAAAAAAATGTTCGCTACCCACACGCGAACTATATAAACCACAGATACCATATCGACAACATAATTTCCATTTACTTGCACCCAAAAAAACAGCACCAAGACATTATGATTCTTGACAAAAGAACAAAAGAACAATCCACAGGTCTATTACAATTATCATCATAAATTCTACAACAAATCTTTGTAAAAGCAACTAACAAAGATGACACCGCTTTACAAGTAATATGGTTAACGTAAGTTTTACTAAAACCCTCATATTTCATTAATCTATTGATTTCATTATTTTCTTAGTCATACAGAAAATGATATTATACAAAATGGTTAAACATACAACTAATAACAATAAGATAGTGGTTTATTCTGCAGCAGTCTAATAACAATAATGGTTAACCATACAAATGACTCTGCCGAACCATGTGCATCCTTAATTGTTAATAGTTTTCTAATACACAAAAAACAAAATGTGTTTTAGGATCAATATTTAACTGAGCCATATTTGACACACTTATTTATTCTTAATTGCTTAATCATAAGGTAATGGTATTGTGATTCTCAACTATGGATTTTTTTTTTTAACTAATACAAATCTTGTGCTTCGAAACCATTACTTACCATACAATTTACATGTGCAAATCTCTGAACAAACAAGCAAACATAAAACAAATATTACAAAGAATGGACATTTCGAAACAATGACACAAATTGCCAATAATAACAATAGCGGGACTTTCAATTCTGAAGACACTTGTAGAAGTAGAAAATAAGCAAGCTTTCCTACTGCTGAGAACACATTTGTTCTTCATCGAACATGATACATATATGGGATTAAAACTACTGATTGCAGTTTGCCAAAAATATAACATGCAAGCAATATATCACATTGTCGTTGCTTTACTTATTGTACATGACAACAGAGGTATACAAATTCTAATGAAATTAGTAAAACTACCTAATCATTTCTACAAATTGAAATATTGCAAGGAAGAATTCAAGTCTCTGACTCCAACTGCAACAATTCTCATTAAAAGACAAATATTTGGGACTTGCAACAAGGAGAATCAAAATCGTATACACTGGGACAGATCAACGTCACCAGAAAATATCACATGTAATAGATGTAATGTGGATTACCAAATACTCTGTATGAAATTTAATTTTTAGTAAGTTTCTTATGTAATTTCTTGCACATGTACAAATTTAAATGCTTTTTGGTTTAATCTGAAAATAGAAGTTCAAACTCACTCAATTATCTACGATTGATCCAAATATTTAATAACTTATAAAGAAAAAATGAAAACAAAATTACAATGATCAGTAAAACATAAACAATATTTAATAAAAATATTAAACACCAATGATTATGACAATTTCAAATAATTAAACATGTTCGACAAACAACAATCTAAATACTGTTCCTATAACATATAAAAATAAATTTCCATTCCATTATTCATTAGATTAAATTCTACGCCGAACCACAAAATATTTTGGAAACCCGCCTGCCGAACCATTGTTAACTATTTATTACGCTTTCCTTTAATGCACCACAAACAGTTTTGCTACCGTTTTGTATCTCATCGCGCAATAAGTTGTCAACATTCAATTAACATGTCTATCTGTTAATAAATGTCTGTTAGTTTTCCCGGAGCAACTTTTATATTGTGTGATACAGTACCCTAGAAATTGTTCAAACATTCTCGCATAAAAGATGAGTTCAAATTTATTCTCTCTGTTTGTTTCCTATTTCTATTTACATAAAACAAGTCAAGATATATTCTACTGTGAAGTAGCAAAATTTTAATTACAAGACTAAAATACTGGATAAAACATAAACAATATTTAATATTTTAATAGATATTTAATAACAATATTAGACAAAACTGTTTATAAAAATGTTAAAAAATTGAACATATTCAACAAACATCAATCTAAATATATTATAATTTTAATTAAAAAAAAACTAGAAATAACCCTCTCTATTACAGATTTAAAAAAACTTTTGTAGCATTATTGATCAAACAAGATCGAAGCCGAACTATATGCATGTTTCATAACCATATTGCCGAACCACAATTGAAAAATTAATAAATATATTATGATATCATCATATCATCTCTGACTTTGATACTTGACAAAATATTTATTGTTCTTCTTTTAAAAATGTATCAATAAGATTTTATTATTAGTAAATCACAATGTTTATTTATCATAATAGCTCAACATTTTGCCAAACCATCATTAACTACCTAACTAATATGTTGCAGACTTAACAAAATATTTATTACAGTTTTCTTTAATATTGTACAGATAGTCTACTAACGTTTCATATTACCTTATCCAAATAATTATTAACACTTTTTCGATCGACACGTTTATTTATTACCAGTTGTATGTTCATATTCCACCTCTTCATATCCTATTCTCATATAAATATTGCTTTGACATCAATCACCCATTTAACTTTCTTTAGATATAATACACTTTAATTGTTCATTTCTTCTCCACAACTTAATTCGAAAATGGTTGACAAAACATCACAACCAAAAGAATCTGCAACGAATACCAGCAACGACCTCAAGAACAATAATTCTCCACCGGCAACTGGAAGGTATGACTGTTCCACATCTTTTGTATCATAAATTGCAAAATGTCAAACAAAACGATGATATATATTTGCGGGAATATAAAAACCATTAAAATTTTTTTTTTTAGATATGTTGAGAGTTCAACTTATAATTATATTTACACATTCATGTTACTATTTCCATAATTTATAAAATTTGATTGTATATTGTTTTAGACATTTTTCAGGGAATGCCGAAATTGAGGGAGATTTTCAAAAAAGTTGAAACCAATATGGATGATCTACATACTGCTAGAGGCAAATTAAGAGAAGTCATTGACCAGATGTTAGAAATCATGGAATCTGCCATGTATATTATTTATAACATAAACAAAACAGAGTATGCATATTCAACAATAAGAAAAATAGAAAATAAACTCTACATCGTCCAAACCCACTTCACAGTATGCAAAAGTGATGTACTTATTTCTTTTATGATAAAAGAATTATTCTCCATATTCAATTTTATCTTGATTTTGGTGTTACTCATTAATTGATTGAAAATTATTCTCCATCATAACACGTTAGTTTTGATTTATTTCTTCCATCTTCACACATTGGATGTGTGTTAATAATAATTATATAAGTACTTTACATAGGCATTCCAAAAATCTAACCATTTTAAATAAAAACGTATAAAGATGGAAGTTAGTTTGTTTTCAAACCTTGGCTGAAGAAAATCCTATACTGTGAGAAAAAAGTTTACCAGTAAATGTCAAACCTGTAAATGAACTCAATATAAATTTTAAGTTTAAATAATTTATCTTCATAATATTAATTGATATTAATAACTATAAATGTACAATTATTAATTTTACGTTAACACAACTCCGTACATATATAGAAGTTATATTTACTCTAAAACTTGTATAATTTAACAATGATCATCTCTTAATCTAATTACTTTATTCTGTTAGAATAAATTTGTTTATAACCTATTTCAAAAATATTAAATAAATATACTTGTGTAACGCGCATGCCCCATGTCTAGTTATTTATATTTATGGGAATCATCTTTGATTTTGTTTCATATTATCTCAATTCTTTGTCAATCCAAATTCACTACTTTCAAGTTTTGAAGATTATTAAAGATTAAGCAGTAAAGATTTGAATTATTATTTTTTATTTTTGATAACCAGGATGTCTAAACCAGTTTGTGTGCATCTCAACTAATGTTCGAGATCCATTGAATACACTACAAGTCCAAAAGATCAAGTAAGTCATAATGTCATTATGGTAGGTGGTCCCAATATTTGAACCCAAAAAATTAAGAAAGAGAGCCAACCTCTATACTCGCCAGGCCAATCCCTCTTGCTCACAAGGCCAACTCCTTAGGTTAAAGATTTGAATTATTATCCTATTTCTACCATCTTATTCAAAAAATGTTTTCGAAAATATATTAATCTAGAAATTGTATTTAACTTCAACGTGATTTCTCCAACTAATTTTGAAAGATATATAGCAATAAATTACTTAAAAAATTTAGGAAGAGGTCAATCTTTATCTAAAAAAAAAAGAGAAAGACTGTGGGTGAACGGCGTGTAGGAGCATAGTTAGAATTTAGTAAATATGACAACTGGCAATCCCGAAACCTTGAAGATTCCGTAGTATCTTTATTTCTCCTCGTATATACAATTACTCTCCATAGAAAGTTTCAAATTATATTAATTTCACCTCATTTTTATATTTAATTATTTCCATTTTTATCGGCGATTAGTTGGTAAGTTTTCCTTGATCTCTATTTAAAAAAGGTACCTATCCCACCTCATCTTTCTCCCACCACTCTCTTCTCTTTTCGTCTTTCTCCGTTAGTTGAGTTCTTCATCATAAACTCGCTATCATGTCTCTCCTCGATGGTCTCATCAACCTTGATCTCACCGACACCACAGAGAAGATCATAGCTGAATACATTTGGTATATATATTTCTTCAACCATTTTACGGACTGTTGTGTGAAACTGTGAATCATTCATTCTTAACATTTTCTACTCTTTTTGCCGTTGATTTTATAGGATCGATGGATCCGGATTGGGCCTGAGAAGCAAAGCGAGAGTAAGAAACTGAGAAATTTCACTTTTATGAAGAAATTAATGCCATGATTTTGTGTTTTTTGTTTGTTTGTTAATAATTATAATTATGGTGCTCCATGTAAACAGACTTTACCTGGACCGGTAACCGACCCGGCCAAGCTTCCGAAGTGGAACTACGACGGCTCCAGCACGGACCAAGCTCCCGGTGACGACAGTGAAGTCATCGTCTAGTACGTATCATTTTCTGTAATCTCTATTCTGTATTTTCAAAATTTTACCGGATGGAATCTTTGGTTAAGAGAATATTCAAGATTCAGTTCCACATTCTATTGATGAACTGTATTTGTTGTTTTTCAGTCCTCAAGCCATATTCAAGGATCCATTCCGACGAGGAAACAACATCCTGGTAAATTAATTATGACAGTTATTTATTCCTTTCTAGTCCCGTGATTTTCGGTAGGATAAGCATGAATCGGTCCAGGGGTATTAATTGTCTTTTCATCGTAATTAATTTAAAAAAAAAAAAACAGGTGATGTGCGATGCGTACACACCGGCTGGCGAACCCATTCCCACAAACAAGAGATTTAATGCTGCCAAAATATTCAGCCACCCAGATGTCCTCGCTGAGGAGCCATGGTAATTATTAATTAGTATTTACTTTTTATTTTTTCATTACAATTTTTGCGTGAATGAATTAATAAAATGTCATATTGGTAAAAAATTAAAAATACCTTAAACTAATGGAATACTTATACTAACAAATTCTCTGTTGATAATTACTGAATTTCTATCATTTAGGTGATAATTTGATAAATTATCTTGATATATTAAAAAATAATAATTATTTGGATGCTTTGATAACATTTTCTAGTTTGACTTAGTCCAAAATTAAAATGTCAGTTTCTCTCGGGCCCATTAAAAGAAAAAAGTTATAGTCTTATAGACACCAATGCTTGGCAAGTTAATTGATTTTTTTTATAAAATTATATTTGAAGTTTTATACTTATTTTTTTATAAAATTCTATTTGGAAGTTTTACACTTATTTGTACGTTCAATGTTTATAGTTTGACATTTTATATTCCAAATGTTACAATGAAAATAGGATAGCAAAATAGTTTATTTCTTAAAGGGAAGGAATAATTTATTGTTATTTTGACACATAATAAAAGGATGTCCTTGTGGGTATCACAATATTTCCCGTCAATTAATAGACATGGCCAACATAACAATTAACAGCTAAAGGATGATAATGATATTGTAGATGTAAAACTATATAACAAATTACAAATAGATAAAAATAAATTATTATTATTATAATGATAATGATATTACTATTTTGAATTTTTTTTTAATGAATAGTATGTCTTAACCATCAATCTTATTGGGATGGTTCATCATCGAATTCAACAAAATATAAACTAAAATATTACAATTAAAATTGGTTATTTTAATTAAGTATTACAATTAAAATTGATGGCCAGACTTATTTTAGTGTTAACGTTGGTAAAATATTACAATTAAAAATTGATTATTTGAATTAAGTATTGGTCGGTAGGAAAGTGGGTGGCTCAGGAGGTTGGTCGTGCTTATTTGTCTTCACTGTGCTTATTTTTCTTTTGGTACAAAGTCCATGTCATCTAAGACGAATATGTGTTTAGAATGACGAATTACCCTTTGTAATATAAAATTAATATGCCTTTTTTCTACTTGCTAATTAGTTATGGGTTTTATCATAAGTTTTTCTCATTTTTCTAAGTTTGACTTTACAGCTAACAAAGCTGTTAGATGTAGCTTTGACGAATCATGGGAGTAAACTCCAACACCTACNTACCCTTTGTAATATAAAATTCGTATGGCTTTTTTCTACATGCTAATTAGTTATGGGTTTTATCATAAGTTTTTCTCATTTTTCTAAGTTTGACTTTACAGCTAACAAAGCTGTTAGATGTAGCTTTGACGAATCATGGGAGTAAACTCCAACACCTACCCAAAAAAACAACTAAACAATGAAAGCGGATAGTATATAAAAGCTTCGTTTGGTTTATTATTCTGATAGTTTTTAGAATAATCTTTTAAAAAAAGTTAAATTGGGCGGGTATTACGATATAAAATTTAGAAATTAACAAAAATATCTCCTATATTTGTTTATTTACTAAACACCCCTATAATAAAATATTAAAAGTTAACAAAAATACCCCTAACCCACCCATTAAATACAGACAGCTGGTCACCACTGTCGGAGGGTGGTCGGAGTGTTTTTGCAATTTCTAAAAAAAATATTTGGGGTTGTTTAGTTAAATTAATAAATTTAGGAGGTTTAAAAGAAATTGAACAATATAGAATAATATTTTGGGAATAATGACATTTTACTGTTTAACTTTTTTGGGAATCCTAATAGCTTCGTTTGGTTGCATTTTGGGAATACTACTTTTAGTATTCCCAAAAAAGTTAAACAGTAAAATACCCAAAAACTCACAATATTATTCAACTTTTTTTAAACTCCCTAAATTTGTTAATTTAATTAAATATCCCTAAATATTTTTAAAAAAATTATAAAAACACCCCAATAATTCACATTTACTAGATTCCGGCCACCACTGTCGGAAAATGGCCGGAATCTGGTAAGATGGCTCACTACCGGCTGAATCTGGTCGGTAGTGTGCCGATCTAGCCTTTTCTGGTCAGATCCACTGTGGATCTGGCCGGAAAAGGCCAGATCTTTGGCCGTAACCAGTCAGTAACGACGACCAACAAACGGTCGACGTTGACGAGCAAATACGGCCAGATCTGGCAGGAAAAGGCCCTATCAGCGCACGATCGGCAAGATCCAGCCGGTCATGCGTCGATACGGCGACTCTGGCCACCCTTCGACGGTGGTAGCCGGCTGTTCGTATTTGAGGGTGGGTTAGGGGTGTTTTTGTTAACTTTTAATGTTTTACTATAGGGGGTATTTTGTAAAAGAATAAGCATATGGGGTATTTTATTAATTTGTAAATCCTACATCGTAATACCCGCCCAATTCAACTTTTTTCAAAAAACTTTTTCCAAAATCACAAAATTGTGAACCAAACGGAGCCAATAATATATAATGGCTCCGTTTAGTTCACAATTTTGTGATTTTGGGAAAAGTTTTTTGAAAAAAATTAAAAAAAAGTTGGCTTCGTTTGATTGGTTTTTGGAAATACTATTTTTAGTATTCCCAAAAAAGTTAAACAGTAAAATACCCAAAAGCTCACAATATTATTCAATTTTTTTTTAACTTTTTTCAAAAAACTTTTCCCAAAAACACAAAATTGTGAACCAAACGGAGTCGTTGAATTGGACGGGTATTACGATGTAGAATTTATATATTATAAAATACCCCTCTATGTTTTTTTTTTTACAAAATACTCCCTATAATAAAACATTAAAAGTTAATAAAAACACCCCCAACCCACCCTCAAATACGGACAGCCGACCACCATCGCCGGAGGGTGGCCGAAGTCGCCGTATCGACGCATGACCGGTTGGATCTTGCCGGTTGTATGTCGATATAGCCTTTTCCAGCCAAAGGCTAGATCTGGCCATTGACGGCCGTATTTGCTCGTCAACGACGGCCAACAAATGGTTTTCGTTGATGGTCAACGACGATCATTTGTTGGCCGTTGTTACCGACTGGTTACGGCCAAAGATCTGGCATTTTCTAGCCAGATCTACTGTGGATTTGGCCGGAAAAGGCTAGATCGGTGCACTATTGGCCAGATTCAGCCGGTAGTGCGCCATCCTACTAGATTTCAGCCATTTTTCGACAGTGGTGGCCGGAATCTGGTAAATGTGGATTGTTGGGGTATTTTTGTAATTTTTAAAAAAATATTTAAGGGTATTTAATTAAATTAAAAATTTTAGGGGGTTTAAAAAAAATTGAATAATATTAAATAATATTGTGAGTTTTTGGTATTTTACTGTTTAAATTTTGTGGGAATACTAAATGCAACCAAACGAAGCTACACAAACGAAGCAAAAATGTTTGGGGCAGTGTTACAGAATTACAGTCTGTAAATGGGTTGACCTCAAGCTTTCGTATTGCATTCCGGGAGACAAAATGATCACTTGTTTCATTGCTTAGATCTTCTAATTTTTAATCCTAATTGATAACAAGTTTGGCTTTTCAAGAACGTTTATATCAGATTATTTTGAATATGCTAACAGTCAACAATGGTCATAAATTCTTTTGAATTACAAAATTAACTGAATTATGAACAGAATTTGTCAAATTAAGTTCCGAAAGAAGAAAATTTTATCTGTGTGGTTCTTTTCCTTTTTAGTTTGGAACTGAGACTTATTGGATATTGGTTTTAGGTATGGCATTGAGCAGGAGTACACTCTCCTTCAGAAGGATGTCAAATGGCCCATAGGATGGCCGGTTGGTGGCTTTCCCGGTCCCCAGGTATCAGACTCCGACGATACATGACGCTCCTATAATTGACCTTGATTAGAAAAATCCCTATTCTTTTACAGTGAAGTAAAAAGTATCTGTTGATTTCCATGCAGGGACCGTACTACTGCGGAGTAGGAGCTGACAAAGCCTTTGGCCGGGATATTGTGGATGCCCACTACAAAGCTTGTCTCTATGCGGGGATCAACATTAGCGGAATTAACGGTGAAGTTATGCCCGGCCAAGTATGTTTTATACTTCATTTCATTGCCCTAACTCTAATCGCTTCACTACTTTTAAGGTTATTTTTCTTACTATTGCTTATTAGATATTCGTGATTGTTTGGTGTGTGTCTATGGAAACAGTGGGAATTCCAGGTCGGTCCTGTAGTTGGAATCTCCGCCGGCGATCAATTATGGATGGCTCGGTACATACTCGAGGTACGGTTATGAAAAATAATTAGCCGTATACTTTAACTTTTTATATTGAATCCAAGTTTTAAATCTGTTTGATCAAACAGAGGATCACCGAGATTGCAGGAGCTGTGCTTTCATTTGATCCAAAACCAGTTCAGGTTTGTTTTAATACCGCTTTTACTTTTGTCTGTTTTCTTCTTCCTAGCTTTAAGCCAAAAGACATCACTAGGCATAGATGTGGCTTCAAATCTCTGTTACCTCTTATAATTGGTGTCTACTTATTGTATGCTATTTGATTATATTAATCATGATTACGAATCTTCTTCCATTTTTTTATTTATTTTTTATTTTGAAATAATCAGGGCGACTGGAATGGAGCTGGTGCACACACCAACTACAGGTATATGCCAACTAGTTACTATAGTTTGTGAATTCTCACTAATGACATGGCAAGACTTGGGGGAATTACATTTTGGTTATTAATGGGTTGTAACTTTTCTTCTCAGCACCAAATCCATGAGGAATGATGGTGGACTTGATGTGATCAAGAAAGCCATTGAGAAGCTGGGATCACGCCACAAGGAGCACATTTCTGCTTATGGAAAAGGCAATGAGAGAAGGTTGACTGGTCGCCATGAGACTGCAGATATCAACACCTTCTCTTGGGTAATTAAAATTATTTTCTCGTCATTACAACAACGTACTCTTGCAATATGTTTTTCTTTAGAACAATTCCCTTATTTATATTGAATATAAAGTAATTCTCATGTGTTGCACTTGCTCAAATTACAGGGTGTTGCCAACAGGGGAGCTTCCATCCGTGTTGGTCGCGATACCGAGAAAGCTGGAAAGGGTAATAATTTGTTTCGGATTTGTTGATTACTCATCTCTGCAATATTTTCTGAGTTGCTTTCATTTCTCTTCTGTTTTGCAATTGATTTAACTAGTTGATTATTGTTGGCAGGATACTTTGAAGACAGAAGGCCAGCTTCCAACATGGACCCATATATCGTCACGTCTATGATAGCAGAAACTACCATTCTCTTAAAGCCTTGAGGGAATGTGAAGCTCTGGGAAAGATGAATGAGGGGGAGGGAAAGAAAGCTATCGAAAATCTCTCTAGTGTGTGGCATGCATGTATTTGGATGATTAGATTTGGAATTCAAATTGTTAATGGTTTCTTGGTCACTGATTTTAGTTTTCGTTTCATGGGATACAACTTGTGCACAGATTGTATAAAACTTGGATGATTTTATGTTCTCATAAATAAGTGTATCTAGTTCGATAATATTTTGACTGTTTACTTTAAACTATTACTTGATATGGATTCTACATCTTGATTCTCTCCCATTTTCAGCCGAATCAGAAATGGATTCTACATCTTGATTCTCTCCCATTTTCAACCGAATCAGAAAGACAATACTGTTAGCTTATTCAATTGAAGTTAAGAATGAAAGGAGATGAGAGAAAAAATCTAAGAACTAAAAAAGAAAGAAATAAAAAATCCCTTATTTTAATACAAGAATCAAGGATGAAGATCCCTGATTTTCATACTAGAATCAAGACTGAAGATTAGCAACACTAGCTGTAGTTACATAAGGATCTCAAATCTTCAAAACTCATTCTAGGAAGGGCCTTGGTGAGGATGTCGGCTGTCTGGAAAGTAGTTGAATGTAAACCATTGAGATGATTCCTTCTTCTATCTTCTTCTTAATAAAATGTTGATCGATTTCCACATGTTTTGTTCAATCGTGATGGACTAGGTTCTTTGCAATGCTTATGGCAGCTTGATTGTCACAAAACATCTTCATAGGATCTTCTAATTGAATTTGCAGTTCCTGTAAAAGTCTTCTTAACCAAATTCCTTTACAAATTCCTTGTGCCATAACTCTAAATTTTGCTTCTTGCTACTGCTGGTTGTTTCTTGCTACGCTAGGTAACCAAGTTTCCCCATACAAACGTGAAATACCCTGAAGTAGATCTTCAGTCAGTTATGGACCCGGCCTAATAAGCATCGGTAAATATCTCCACATCTCTTTTTTGTCTTTTCTTGAAATATAATCCCCTTCCCGAAGTCATTTTTATATATCTTAGAATCCGATAAACATCTTCCATGTGTTCCTCGATTGGATTATTCATGAATTGACTAACCTTGCTGATAGAAAAACTGATATCAGGCCTAGTGTGAGAAAGATAGATAAGTTTTCCAACAAGTTTTTGATATCTTCCTTTGTCAACTGGAGCACTTCCTTCTGCAACTCCCACCTTTGTAGTATAGTACATAGGTGTATCAGCAGGTTTATAGCCAAGCCTGCCAATTTCCTTCAATAAATCAAGGACATATTTTCGCTATGAGACAACAATTCCCTTCTTTGATTGAGCAATTTCCATTCTGAGGAAGTATTTAAGATTTCCCAAGTCTTTGATTTCAAACTCTTTAGCAAGGAATTTCTTGAGATTACTTATTTCCTCCTCATGATCTCTTGTCAAAATTATATCATCTACATATACAATGATGATGGCTAATGCTCCCCCAACAGATTGTTTTACGAATAAGGTATGATCAGATTGACATTATGAATACCCAACCTCTTTCATAGCCTTGGTAAAACGATCAAACCAAGCTCTAGGGCACTGTTTGAGCCCATATAGAGATTTTCTGAGTCTACATACTTTGTTAATATTAGCTTGAATCTTGAGAGAATTTGCATATACACTTCTTCTTCTAGGTCACCATTAAGAAAAACATTCTTGATATCTAGTTTATGAAGACACCAGTCATGATTTGCAGCCAGGGATAACAAGACTCTGATTGTGTTCAATTTTGTAACAGGTGCAAAAGTCTCTTAGTAGTCAATTCCATAGGATTGAGTGAAGCCCTTTGCTACAAGTTGTGCTTTGAACTTGTCAATACTTCCGTCTACTTTGCATTTTATTGTGAAAATTCGCTTGCATCCCACTGGATTCTTCCCTTCTGGGAGTTTCATAAGTTCCCATGTGTCATTCCTTTCTAAAGCTCTAACTTCATCTTCAATGGCAGCTCTCCACTCAGGTACTTGTAGCGCTTCTTGGACATTGTTCGAAATCTGAATATCAGTAAGATTGGCAACAAATGCACGATATCGTATTGACAAATTTTTATAAGAGATGAAGTTATAGATTGGGTGGCTTGTGCATGATTTGATTCCTTTTCTTTTTGCAATAGGTAAATCAAGATCATTATTCTCTACCTGATCAAACTTAGTGAGATTGTTATTAGTGTTACCTAAAGGTGTTTCCTTTGGATTTGGATTCAATTCATCTTCATGGACTGGCTTGGGATGTGTTTGGTCCTCTATATCTTCTTGATTTCCCTTGTTTTTCTTGGAATAGAAAATGGCCTCGCTATTTTTCACAGTTTGAGATTGAGTTGGTTGAGAAATGAGTGGAGTTGGAGTACTTGAGTTGGCTTCATAAGGATTAGACTCAGAATTGATAATGCGCATTTCAGATTCAGGTATTCTTATTGGTATCTCAACTATGGGAGCTATAGGTGTCTCAATAGGTTTTGTTTCCCAAGATTGATATTCTTGGATTCTATTCTCCCTTTGAATATCATTTTTGGGATAATATGGTTGGTTTTCAAAAAAGTTTACATCCATTGTGTTGTAGAATTTTCTTGTGATTAGGGAGGAACACTTGTATCCTTTTTGATTCGATGAATACCCTAGAAAGATGCACTTAATAGCCCTTGGATCAAGTTTACTTTGGTTTGGTTGTTTATTGTAAACAAAGGTCATACAACCAAACACTTTGGGTGGAAGGGTGGAAATTAGCCGAGCATGAGGATATGATTTGAGTAGGATTTGACAAGGAGTTTGGAAATTTAACACACGAGAAGACATTCTATTTATGAGATAAGTGGCAGTGAGAACAACTTTTCCCTAAAAAAAATTGGAACATTGGTGGAAAGCATGAGTGATCTTGTAACGTCTAACAAGTGCCTATTTTTTCTTCCAACTGCCCCATTTTGTTGTGGGGTATCAATGCATGAACTTTGATGAACTATTCCTTCTTTTAACAAGTAATTACCTAGAAAAGAATTGAAATAATCCTTTGCATTGTCGATTTTCAAAACTTGTATTTTGACATGGAATTGTGTTTGAATCATGGTATGAAAGTTTTTGAAAATTTGACTAACTTCAGATTTGTCTTTCATTAAGAATACCCAAGAAATTCTAGTATGATCATCAATGAATGAAACAAACCATGTAGTGCTAGTAACATTTCTTATTCTAGACGATCCCCAGACATCACTATGAATCATTGAAAAATGGTAAGATGATTTATGAAACTAAGTTGGGTAAGAGTTGTGAACTTGTTTAGATAACAGTCATATTTCACACTGAAAATTCTTGGAATTATTCTTAAATAATGATGGGAAAAGTTTTTGAGATACATAAAATTAGGACGACCCAAACAATAGTGCCATAACATAACACTATTCTCATTATTTGGAACATAAACAAAAAAACATAATTTTTCACCACCTGTGGATTGAGGTTGTCTTTCAGGGAAATTAGTGGTCTTGAGGATATAGAGACCTGAACACATATCAGCACAGCTAATCGTCTTCCCCAAATCTAGATCCTGAAAAACACAATAATTTGGGAAAAATTTAGTAACACAATTCTTATCCCGAGTGAGTTTACTGATAGATAGCTGATTACAATCAAGATTAGGAACAAAATGAACAGATTCAAGGGTTAGGTCCTTGGAAATAACAATAGACCCAATGCTAGCTACATTTGAGAGAGAACCATCTACAATACGAACAGTGAAATTTCCAACACAAGGTGTATAATTTTTAAACATTGTAATATCTCCTGACATGTGATCAGATGCTCCGGAGTCAATAATCCAATAGTTTCCATGTTCTTTTCTTACATTTAGGGCTACGAGAAAGACCTTTTTGGGCCAAAGATCTAGATCCTAGGATAGAATTGGAATTGGAAGATGATGAACCTTGTGTGGATTGAGTGATCATTTTTTTTATAGAAGTTCCAATTGTTCCTTGCTGAATGGACTTGGGTTTGGATTTGTTGGTTTATCCTCAACTGAAACATGGTGGCCATGACTTTCCCTAGGCTTCCAATTTGCTGGTTTGCCATGAATTTTCCAGCAGGTATCCTTGGTGTGACTTGGTTTTTTGCAATGATCGTACCAGAGTCTTCCTTTCCTTTAACGGTTGTCATTGAATGAGGAAAAATGTTCCCTTACAACAAGAGCAGATCCCTCAACAATCTATTGATTTTTTTTTAGTACCTCACATAACCTTCTTTTGAGTTTCTTCTTGGTGGACCTTTGAAACTACCTCCTGGATGTTAGGTAGAGGTTTAGTTCCCAAAATTCTACTTCGAATTTCATCAAGACTCTTATTTAGGCCTAATAAGAATTTGTATATTCATTTCTTTTCCACATTCTTTTTAAATCTTGTTGCATATGCATTACAGTTCCACTCGTGGGTCTCATATAAGTCAAGCCGCTGCTAATAGCGATTGAGACGACTGTAGTACTGAGTGATTGGTAAATCCCCTTGATGCAAATCATGAAGTATTCCTTTTACTCGAAGGATTCTGCAGTATCTTCTTTATCTGAGTATGTTTCCCTGGCTGCTTCCTAGATTTCTTGAGCAGTTTCATAGAGTAGGATATCAACTCCATGAACCAATATCAGTATCCATGGAGTTGATCAGCCATGGCATAACTATGATGTTTTCTGCCTTCCACCTTTTGAACATCGAAGCATCCTCAACTGGTTGAACTGCTTTTCCAATAAGATAATCAACCTTTCCTCAGCCTCTTACAAATATCATCACTGAAAAAGACCATTGGATGTAGTTTTTTCCATTTAGTTTGTGCCTGTAATGGGAAAACCTAAGCCATCAGATCCACCATGACTGCTAGACTCAGAAACTTCATGGTTGCTATTTAAATTAGTAATTCTTTGACCAGTTGTGACTTCAAAGATATTCCCAGTAGTTGCTTCTTTATCAATTGCCATTCCGTATTTTGTCATGGCAGATTGAAAGA